GAGCAACTTGACAATCCACTGACAAGAAGTTGCATGAGGACTATACCAAAATGGGAATATTTCTTTAAAGTTACATTGATTTTACACCACTTATTAATACTGTCCTTTCTCTCTCTCCTCAGATGATCAGAATATGGAGACTGTAATGAAGAACCTTGATCAGCAGTACGCAGCACTGAACATGGTATCAATGATATCACGTTATGGCACCGAGCAACAAGGAGCCAACGCTCGTGACGCTGAGCTACTCACGAGAGAGAGACTCTGTCGGGCACTATCAATGTTTGAACTAGTCATGCAAAGAATCAAATCATTCCTCACCTGTGACCCTGTAAGTATACTAATAATATACTAATGGTATACTAATAATATACTAAAAGTAACTGTACAATACATGTACATGTATGTTCTTTATTATACATGTACTAAGATTTATTGTATGGCAATTAAGATTAGCATGATACATGCAAATGCACTTGAATTAAGATTTTTCATATACAAAAATTATTATATTAGTATACTGAAAATATCCTATTTTCAATAGATATGGGAGGGCCCCCCACCAGCTAATGGTGTGATGTCCATTGATGAGTGTCAGGAGTTCCACAGACTATGGAGTGCCATACAGTTTGCTTACTGTCTACCTCCCACTAAAGGAGAAATTACTATTGAGTGAGTCAATATTTATGATATTTTAAAGGGTGATCTATACTGCTATGCATTACTATATTGAAATCATCTGCAAAGATAATGGCTAACATACATCTAAGAGTTGGAAATTTCCCAGCTCTGCAATTATGGTTGTAACACAAAGCAGTATGAATTTGCATCAATACAGTAAACATGTACATTGTAAATAATGTACTTGTGTTTGTGTGTGTGTGTATGTGGGCAAATGAGGAACAATGGCTTCGATATTCATGTTTTTTTAAAAATATATTTATGGGTGGTCTTGTTCCCAGGAAGATAAAATGAATAATGTACATGTACATGTAGTTAGCCACTTAATACGAACCACACCCTCTCTTATTCTCTTTTCCATTCTCTTTTTATCTCCTCTTTCTTTCTTTCTCCCTCCCTCCCTCCCTCCCTCTCCCTCACAGGCAGTGTTATGGTGAAGGGTTACAGTGGGCTGGGTGTGTCATCATGACTCTGTTAGCTCAAGAGAAGAGATTCGCTTCTTTGGACTTCTCTTATCACTTGCTTCGTGTTCATGAGTTTGATGGACAAGATGGAAATGTACAAGGAATTGTGAGTGACAAAGAAGAGAGGAGAAGATAGAGAGGGAGGGAGAGAGAGAGAGAGAGAGAGAGAGAGAGAGAGAGAGAGAGAGAGAGAGAGAGAGAGAGAGAGAGAGAGAGAGAGGAGAAAAGGTAAAGGTGATTAAGCATCTTTGGACTTTGGGTACTATTTTTCTTACAACGTACATGTATGTATTACATTATGAATACAGTATCATTTCTTTTCTCTTCTTTTCTTTTAGGATCTCAAGCAGATGATAAAGCGTATTAAAGTCTATCGTGATCTTAATAATCAAATTTTTGTTATATTAAACAAACATTTATCTAGCAGTGATATTCTTCAGAGACAAGTTAGGGAGTATCAGCCTCCAATATTCCAGGCCACTCAGGCATGAGAATATGGGAGTATGGGAATGAATCTTTATAAACTCCTAGTTATTATACTGTACTCGTTGTGATTAGTTTGTGTTTTTAATGAATCATATAACTAATAGTATAGTATTAAATTAATTGTATCCTCCTCTTCTAGTTTTCTTTATTGGTACATGTCAATTTCTTTATTTAAAAAAATAATTATAATGTTATGATAATTTTGTTTGTATAATCAGTACCGGGTGCGGTCTTAAAATCGGTTGCTCCGAGGGGTCCGACACGGACGTACTCAAATTTTGTACGGGATATCTGGATTTCAAATAGTATACTACAAAAATTCTTGCATAACTCCGGATACTGCCTAAATTTCTGAAAATTTTAGGTTCAATTTGGATTCCAAGGAGAGTACTGGATTCCCGAGTGTGTCGAACCCCTCGGGTTGCTCTTGAAAATGAGTCTGTAACAAAGATCTCACTTACGAGGAATTCTTGGATCAGAAACCACCACTACAAGAAGTTCTG